TTTCTGAAGTCCCATTTCATGGAAACATCATCTTCCTTCCACTGTTCCTCCTGGAGACAGCTGGCTCTGGCACTGTTCTCTTTCCTGCATTTCCAGAAGTGAAGGATTGGTTTTACTGAATATTTTTTTTGGGGGGGGAGAAAAAGTGGGTTTTTCTGACAGTAAAGATAACATACATCTTTCGTAACAAAATCATACAAGAGTACAAGCTGAACACAGGTTCCAAAGATTCCCAAAGAGAAAAATGTGGAGGAGTATTAATTCTGGGGTCCACTTTCCTCGGCTTACAAGTCCTACTTTTTGAATGTGCCACTTTAAAATCAGGCACCTGTGTTTTGAGTTCTACATTTAAACCACATCCGTTCCGTCCACTCACTGAAGAACTGGCGCTGCTGCACCCATTTCTCATATGAAGAAACTGAGGTGCAGGCCACTGAAGTTCCTGACTGACTCAACACCAGCTAAGAAACAAGAGTCAGAATTCAAATATCCTTTGTATGACCCCCATCCCCAGCCAACAAAAAATGTTTTTATCACCTGCTGGTAAAACCATATAACCTTCCCCACTGTATTTCCTGCTGGCTGTGCTTTTCTGACCCATGATTAAAATAAACTATTGAAATAAAAAAATAGGGTTTTCGCAATAGTGGTATCTATTAGGGGAGTTGTCAAAGTTTCAGACTTGGCATAAAACCTGCTCTTTAACAGCACAACTACTAACTACTTAAAGTGAATTTTTGAGCTATTTTATTGATTTTATCTCGTTTTATGGGAACAAAAATCAGGTCTTGCGCTTGTGAGGCATGCACCTAACCACAGAACCATGTTCCTACCTGGCCTTTGGAGACTCAGCGTGAGCAGTCTTGGTGAATGCCACTTCGGGGTGAGGCTGAGGTCATATGCTCACATAAATTCTCTTTTTCTGCAAGACCTTCAGACCTCAGGGGTGCACATGGATTTGAATTTCCTTAGAATCACTCACACTATGTGCCAGTGACAGTCACCGTTCATGGCCTCCAGATTCATCAATTGTTTGAATATAAGGCAAACGAAGCAAAGACTCCAGTGAAGCAGTGATAAAATCAGAACCATAAAATCAGTGATCATGTAAGAATGGAATGGCACAATAGAAAGATGGGAAACCAAGCCTGAGAGCCAGTGAGAGCCACTTTGCATGCAGGAGACATGGGTTCAATCTCTGGCACCACATAGGCTCCTGAGCACTGCTGGGAAGAATTTCCAAGTACTGAGCCAGGAATAGTCTCTCCTAAGCAATGGCCAGGTAACAGCAAAAACAGTGCCAGAGTGATAGTAGAGTGCACAGGGCACATAATTTGCACATGAGTGCTCTCAGTTTGATCCCTTGCACCCCATACAGTCCCGAAAACCCTGTCAGGAGTGCTCACTGAGCACAGAGTTACGAGTAAGCCCTGAGTACCACAAGCTATGGTCCATTAAAAACAACAAGAAGACACCAAAAGGCAAATAACAAAACCCAGAAAACCAAGGAACATTCAAAACAGGCTCGGAAACAAGCTGTACCCCCACCTGCCCCAGATGCCCCCTAATCCCTTCAGCTAAGTGACCCTTCTTTTTTTTCAAGCTTTCCCATTATTTTATTATTATTATTATTAGTGAAACACCATGAGGTACAGTTGTAGATTTACAATTTTTTGTGCTTGGGTTTCAATTATACAATGATCAAATACCCATCCCTCTACCAGTGCCCATTTTCCACCCCCCTCCCTCCCATCCCACCCTGCCTCTGTGGCAGGGCAATCCCTTGTGTTCTCTCTCTCCTTTTGGGTGTTGTGGTCTGCAAAAGAGGCTTTGAGTGGCAAACATGTTCAATCCATAGTCTACTTTCAACATGCATCTCCCCTCCTGGGAGGATCCTCCAAACATCCTTTATTTGATGCTCCTTTCTCTATCTGAGCTGCCCTTTCCCCTAGAATGCCCGGCTGGCCTCTAAACTATGGAGTAAATCTCCTGGTGCTAATCTCAGCTATTCTTGGGTATTAATCTCATATTTTGTTACTTTATATCCCCCAGATGAATGCAATCTTTCTATGTCTATCCCTCTCTTTCTGACTCATTTCGCTTAGCATGATACTTTTCATGTTGTACCACTTGTATGTAAATTTCATGACTTCATCTTTTCTAACAGCTACATAGTACTCCATTGTGTAGATGTACCAAAGTTTCTTTAACCAGTCATCTGTTCTTGAGCACTCAGGTTTCTTCCAGTTTCTGGCTATTGTAAAGAGTGCTGCAATGAACAAACAAGCGCAGATGTAAGTGACCCTTCTTAAAGGACAACACGTTTCCAGCAGCAAGTCAGGTGGCCTGGTCAGATGTGGGGGTGAATGAAAGCATTCTGGTCAAGAAATTGAGTTCCACTTGTTGGACCCCAGATTTCTCTCTCTGGGTAGCTTTAAGAGCAAGGTAATTTGATTTCTTGCCCTTATTCTACCTCACTGAAGCAAGCACAGTAGTATCCCCTTACCTTTGAGGATACGTCTGCAGAGCCCCAGAGGATGCCTGAAACCTCAGACAGCAGTGACCTCTCTGCAGAGTGTTTTTTTAATCACCATATACATGGTAAAGGTTATTAGGGCCCAGCAATGCCAGTGTGGTCTTTCAAACTGCATTAGTGTCCATAATAATTTTGGACCAGGAAAGACTGCAGGTAACTGAAGCAGAAATGAAAGCCTGGACAGAGGAACAGAGGGACAGCTGTGCAGTGCACAGGGGCCGGAGTTGAGCAGTGCTCTGAAAGGGCTTTGGACCTGATGCTGGCTCAGCAGACAGGAGCAGCGATGCTCCTGTGACCCTGCGTGTCTTCCACTCTCTGAGGTAGAGAATGCTGTGCAGGGTGACTTGACAGGTCAGTTAGCCATTTGATGCAGTGGGCTTCCAACTATGTTCTTTGATATTTGCTCAGTTATTAACTGTACCAAAATCTGCCACTAAGGTGCAGAGAGGAGAGGGGAAAACACCAGGGGAATGAATAGTATCAAATGATAACAAGCACTTGGCTCTGGTCACGAAACTGGGAATACTGAGCCTGGGGGACGGAGAAGGGCCGAGAAAGAGGGCATGGAAGTGACAGCAAAAGAGACAGTTGTGGGGGTCCTGGACACTCTGTTGTCAATGAGATTGGGACCTAAGCTAGAATAGCCATGATTTTTTAATGCCCACAAAACTTTACAAGAATATTTTCCAAATTTTTGTATGTCTAGTATGGGTTCCATTAATTCAAAATTAAAATCATTTTACTCTCCTAGGATTATAACTCAATGTCTATGTACCACCCTGAGAATCTAATTTCAGCAACGTTTTTAACCTGAAATTTATGATTAAGAAATCACAACACAGCACTCTTTACAATAGCCAGAAACTGGAAGAAACCTGAGTGCCCAAGAACAGATGACTGGTTAAAGAAACTTTGGTACATCTACACAATGGAGTACTATGTAGCTCTTAGAAAAGATGAAGTCATGAAATTTACATACAAGTGGTACAATATGGAAAGTATCATGCTAAGCGAAATGAGTCAGAAAGAGAGGGATAGACATAGAAAGATTGCATTCATCTGGGGGATTTAAAGTAACAAAATATGAGATTCATACCCAAGAATAGCTGAGATCAACACCAGGAGGATTACTCCATAGCTTAGAGGCCAGCCGGGTATTCTAAGGGAAAGGGCAGTTCAGATAGAGAAGGGAGCACCAAATAAAGGGTGTTTGGAGGATCCTCCCAGGAGAGGAGATGCATGCTGAAAGTTGACTCTAGACCGAACATGATTGCCACTCAATGCCTCTTTTGCAGACCACAACACCCAAAAGGAGAGAGAGAACAAAAGGGAATGCCCTGCCACAGAGGCAGGGTGGGTTGGGGGGGATGGGGGTGGGAGGGATACTGGGATCCATGGTGGTGGAAAATGGGCAATGGTGGAGGGATGGGTATTTGATCATTGTATGACCGAAACCCAAGCACAAAGATTTGTAAATCTACAACTGTACCTCATGGTGCTTCACTAATAAAAAAAAAATTAAAATGATTCTTAAATCATAAAAAAAAAGAAATCACAACACATCAGGTTGACTTTTTTCAATCCCATGACTTTTATTCTGTCTGCATTCTTACAGTCCAGGTGTCTGTTTTAACAGCATCTTTTTAAACATCTTAACATTAATTTTAATGATCACCTTTAACTTTCAGCTCTTAAGCCATTTTCATCTAATTGTGTACATTATAAACTTCCTATATTACTATGCTTTTTTGGTCCTTCCTGCAATTTACACTCTGATTTTTATGTTTTTATTATTTCTTGTCTGTGAACTTATAGCACATATGTTACGAACTTCTGTCAGTAGTACCTTGGAATGTCTAGAGGTAAGACAGCACCCTGGGGACAAAGACTGGTAGGTCTGACCTAGATGTGCTGGTGTCAGGAATGAGAAACTGTTTCACCTGCCTGGGCATGTGTTTCTGGACTTGTAATAGTAGAGGTCACTTATTACTGCCATTCCCGGGGCTGACTGCCACTGTATTTTAAGTTTTTGCATCTGCCACTGGGACCAACTCTCCTGAGCGCTGTGAATGGTGAGGGGGCATTATTCACACAGCATACTCCACCCCTAGGGACCCTCAGCTACCAGCTCTACTAATGTTATTACATAAACATACATATTACACGAGGTGCACATCTTTATACGTATTCAAATACACCAGACCCATCATACATATTTTACGCAGATAGAGAACTTGTAAATACATACTTCCATGTATAAATTACTTCACATCAAGCTAAACAGGATAAAAACATGTAAACATCCACACTTGATTGTTGTCAAGTCAAACACAAGACTACGAGGTAAACACAGTTAAAAAGGGCACTTGGGGGGGGGGGGGGGGACGAGGAAAGAAACAGCATGTAAACAAAGAGACGAGCGGCGTGGTGTGCGCAGACGCGCAGGGAGGGTCCACGTCTTAAGGCTGCGGTGGGCAAAGTTCCTTGCTCAGTTAAGCCTTCTCCCTTCACCCTGTCCCATTTACTCTTGAGGGGCTTCAAAATGAGTGTGGAAATGCTGTAAACACTAGACTACAATTGAATCATTCCTGTTGGAAACAGAGATGACAAGATCAACCGTGAACTGACAGTAAAGATGCATTTCGCCACCAACACAACACTCAGGACTGTGTGTGTTTGTGTATGTGATTACGGAAGAGGGTGAAATGTCACGGTCCTGAGCAGGCAAACAAATGGGAATGAGTCAGGAAACAGCGATGGAGGCTCCAGACACGTGGGGCCGGGATGGAGTGTGTTTATGAGAACAAGCAGCGGGCCACGACAGCATCTCAGCACACCAGACCACATGCCACAGCAAGGCCACGATGCACACAGAGGCTTCTTGCAGCTCACCAAGGGGCACTTTCACTCCCCGCCCAAGAAACCACTTAGAGCACAGCAAAAGCGTGACAAGGTGGTGGTGACAGCTTTGGATGACAATGCTGCCCTCTCCCACCTGCTCGGGCTCCGCCAGTCCGCTGCCTCGCCTGCCAGTGGCAGGGCTGGGGGCCTCCTGTCCCTGAGGCTCCTCTCCCGGGCCCTGGGGCTGCGCGTGCTGGTAAAAACACTTGTCTCCAAAGGGACAGCGACGCCGGCCCTTGGCGAAGTACCTGCAGGCCTTGTGGCTCATGGCCTCCTTGTACTGCCCGATGAGCTGCCGCTTCTCCTGCTCCTCCTCCACCCAGAACTGGCTAGGGATGACAAAGCTGGAGGCCACCCGGCACTGCGGGCACGACTTGATGATCCTGTTCTCGAACTGTGTGGCCGTGCGCCAGCGGCGGATGCACGTGAGGCAGAAGGTGTGCGTGCAGTTGGACAGGATGCCGAAGCGGCAGTCGGCGGACTGCGCGCGCTCGAACACCGTCTCCATGCAGATGCCGCACACTTTGTCGCGGCTGCGCTGCACGGCGAAAGACAGCTCCATGTCCCTCTCGTGCGCGTCCAGGCAGGCCCGGCGGTGGGCGGCGCGCTGGACCGCGTCCCCCGGATGCAGGGCCTGCAGCCCGCACATGTCGCACACATCGCCGTGCACGTACAGGCAGCTAGCGCCGCGGAAACACTGCCCCAGAGCCGCATCGCGGCACAACGGCCGCGGGCGCTCGGTCGCCGGGCAGGGTCGGGGCTCGGGGATGGGGCGCGGACCCTCAGGGGCAGAGACTAGCACAGGGCTGGAGCGCAGCCCCTCAGCAATAGGGCTGGGGCCCGGGCAAGGGCGGAGCTGCCGGCCCCAGTACGGCCGCCCGGGCACAAACTCCACCGCCTCTTCCCATCCTCCAGCTCCGGTTGCCCTGGCAACGGCTGCATCCCCCAGGTCGGCCCCGCGGACGTCGTCTTGCAAGACGGGAGCAGAGCCAATGGGAGGCGAGGGGCGTGCGGCGGCGCCCTCGGCTCGCGTCGTGGGCGCGGCCACTGCGCCCGGCGCCTCCCCGGACAGCTGCTCGGGCCGGCCGGCCGCGTCGTGCGAGTAGCGACAGCGCGGCCCCTCCTTGCAGCGGCCGTGCAGGTAGTACCTGCAGGCTATGTGGCGCGTCCAGCTGCCGCCGCTCCGGCCCGGCACGGGCCAGGCCCGCGCGCCCCCCGCCGACGCCCAGGCCGGACGCGCGCGCGGCGCCCGGAAGGGGGCGGGGCCTGGCACGCCCGGACCTCGGAGCTCCCGGCGGGCGGGGACGGTGCGCCACGGCGCCGCGGCTGCCCCCTCGCGGCCCTGAGTGGGAGCTGCAGGCTCTTCCATTAGAGCCGCGGCGCCCCCGGAACGGCGCGGGGCCCGCCCGGTGCCCAAAACGGTGCCCTTGGGCCGGGGGCGCGCGCGGAGCCGCCGCGGCGGATGCTGCTCCCGGGACGGTGCACGCCTCTCTATCGTCCCCCCACACTTTCTACTTCCGGCGACATTGGTTCCGCCGTGTGCCGCCGCGCCCGGACACTTCCGGTGGGTGCACACGCGGGTCTCTATCAGGTCCGGAGTGTCGGTTTCCCCGGCCTCGTGGCCGGATGTCGGAGTAGCGTCGTCGCCCCGCGTCACCGCCCCGCCCACCTGCTGCGCTCAACGCGGCCTGAGCCTCGTCAGCGGCGCGCGGCCCCCGTCCTCCAGCCTCGTTGCGTCCGAGGCGCGCGCATTGTGTGCTCGGGCCTCGCGCAGGGCCGCAGCCGCGGGAACCGCTCGCCGCTTAACGGCCTCTGGCGCAATGCGGACGCCGTGGACGCATGCAAATGCCTTTTCCGGTCGCGCTCTTTTATTTATGTCGGGGAGCGGGGCGGTGTGTCTGCGGTTGTTTGGGCTGCTGAGACGGTTCTTGTTGCTTTGCGTGGTTGACAGTTGTCTTCTAGTTTCTCTCAGTGTGGAAATTTCCAGAGGTTCCTATGAGCCCCGGGCGTTGTCTGATCCAGGGCCACGGTAGCTCTGCTGTGTCTTCGTTTGTTGTGATTCCCGCTTTCCCCCCTCCGCCACCCGCTGTGCAGAAGCTGTAGGTCTGGGCTTCTCTCTGTTGCTTTAGTAAAGCCCTGCGCCCAGTGTGACACTTGGCTATTATTTCCTCCAGCTGGCTTAGCTCCAGTGGCCCTAGTCCCCTTTTCTTTCTTTCGCTCCCTGACGGCTTGTGTGCAGGTAGCTGAACAGCTGTTCAGAGCCTTTCTCCACCATTCTGCTCACAAGCGGTGCTGTTTGTGCTTTGTGCCTTTCTGCTTGTATGTTTCATTTTGGTTAGTAAAATAAAATATATAGATTACAAGTCTGCTAAAAGTACTTATCAATGGTGCATCCTGAGTTCTTTTGCAGTGTTGCCTACAATTTTAAGGAACTGTTTTTCTCCTTGTTCTCTAAATGGGACTATTTACTTTGATGGAATTTTCCAGCGTCTGATTTACAGTTCAAGCATTTGGGTTTTTTTTTTTTAGGAATAAACTTTTCTGTGTTACGATGTGTCTTTATTGTGTATATTTCTGGAATTTGTTTGCTAAAGCAATTATTTTAGAAGAAATTTAGTAACCAAAATTTTTGTAGTGAAGAAATAGTATTGAAGAGGACAGTTAAAATCATTTAAAAAAAAACTGGAAGGGAAATGAATCAAGCAAGACCTTTGAAGGGATTATTAAAAGTGATCCAAGAAATTTATCATTATAAAACAAAGTAGGCCCATATAATTATGATTAAGAAGTTAAGGCATTATTTTATTAATAATTGGTATTAAAAGTACATGGTATCAGGAACAAAATTAGGCTATTTGAAATTTTACATGAACAATCATGTTTCTAGAAGCACAACCATTAATAAAAATTAAAATTGAAGAAATTTTGATCTGTTGAATTTTTAATTAAAATCTATAATGAATCTATAATTTTAAAAAAGCTATAAATTTACAAATTCATATAAGTGAAAGCTAACAAATTTCTATCTGAAATAAGTAGACAAAATATAGTACAGTAAGGTAAGTAAGAAATCAAGGAAGCTGGAGTTATTACTTGGTGATTGTAGAAAATTGAGAATAATGATCACTAATGAGCACATTTAGCAAGTTCACTGGGTAGTATATATTTCTGTATACAATAGTTCCTTTACAGTTACCTTTCCACATTTTTAGTTGGTGTTAATCACATCTGAAAATAATGCATACAATAAAATATTTTAAACAATGGGAACACAATCACATTTTATAATAGTATATTTTAATTATTGCTACTAATTATTAATAATGTTTATTTTAATATTGTTTATATTAATATTTTATATTATTTAGTGTTTTATATTTATTAAATATTTAACATTAATTGTTTATCTTTCTCTGCTTAACTTAAACTTTACCAGTTATTTAAGTATATATGCACACTTATATCTCCTCACACACAGGGTTCAGAACTATCTGATTTCAGGCATCCACTGGAAATTTGGGAACACATCTCTGAAGATAAAGTTGGGCTCTGACATGGTAATACTGTTCACTACACTCAAGTGTCCACATAGCTGAATTCTTGGTTTTGTAGAAAAGCATCGAGAAGGTTTGTTAAAATGGTCAGTATTTGGTTCCAATGTAGACAGGTCTGTAATTTTTTATAGTAGATACCTTATAATGCTGTAATTGAGGGGTTTGAGGAACCTTGATGCTGGGACTCAAAATAGGAATCTCGATGGGAGTGACTTCCTTGTGATTGGGTCACAGATGTGAACAGCTCAGATACTGCACCCTGCCCCAGGCCCCAGGGGCCACCCTTGGGAATTCTGTGCCCTGTGAAACCCTGTAGATGATAGTCAGGGTGGAAGAGCAGTGCAGTGGGTGTGGGACATAACTCAGTCGCAGAGCATTAATGTAAAACCCTTTGCTTGATCCCAGGCACTACCCAAGGTATCCTGATGGCCCCAGCATGGTGGGAGTGGGGTGGGGTGGGAACCTGGTGGGGGCTCTCAGAAGCACTTAGCTAAGCAGCACCACGTGGCTTGGTCAATTCTCACTGAATGGCCCTGAGCTCCCCTGTTTCTCTGCCCATTTCCCCTGTAAAAGTAGTGCATGCATTGCACAAAGGTATCACAGCAGAACTTTTTTTTGGAAAAAAATTTAATTTCGTCTTGTTTTAAAGCACAGCTGGTACCCCTCTCCCCGATTTGGTTACTGTGGGCAATTGAACTGAAGCTGGAGAAAGTGGTCTCTGTGCATTTCAAAATATAAAAGCAAATAAGCATACCCATTCATAATAAGAAAGCATGCCAGGGGGCTGAGAGAGGGTACAGCAGGGAGGGCACTTGCCTTGCACGTGACTGACTCGGGTTCAATCCCAGCACCCCATATGGTCCCTGGAGCACTTCCAGGAGTAATATCTGAGCACAGAAGCAACCCCTGAGCATTGCCAGATGTGATCCAAAAACAAAATAAACAAATCCATTCCTTTTCCTGCATGTTCCTGGAACTTGGGGCATGTTGAAAACAAAGTCCAGCTGTGTTCTAATAAAATAGGGAAAGAGACCTTAGTACTGGTGTTCTTTGGGTGACTCTAAAACACCAAATACAGTGGTGGGGATCTCAGAAATTGCCCCTTAGAACAATCGCTGCTCCATTTATTGCATCAGAATTCTCACTAGAGGCTGGAGTGATAGGGCAGCAAGGAGGGCATTTGCCTTGCATGCAGACAACCTGGGTTCCATCCCTAGCATTCCATATGCCCTCCACCCCCGAGAGCCATCAGGAATGATTCCTGAGTGCAGAGCCAGGAGTAAGCCCGAGCACTGCTGAATGTGGCCCTTCCAAAAAAAATTCTCATTCAATCTGGCAAACCTATGATCTGGTCTCTGCTGGAACTGGTAGCAGCTTGCTGGCAGCAGGCAGTGATAGTGACAGCAATTCTGGGGGTGTCCGCATTGTTGGCCAGAAGTCAAAGCGTGTAGCTCATTTGCCTAGAGAAATTCCTTTATTATAGAGTAGTGAATTGAGAGTTGAAACCTGATTCCAGTCTTACATCCCTCTGCCCCGAATCTCTCCTGCAGCATCTGTGTAAACGCCAGACACAGAACAGCTGTATGCACTGAAAGGCTATTCATTGTGACACTTGAATGTCCTTTATTTATTTATTCATTTATTTATATTGAAGCACCAAGAGGTACACAGTTAAAAAGTTGTTCAAGATTGGGTTTCAGTCATTCAGTCATACAATGTTCCAACACCCGTCCTTTCACCAGGGCACATTTCCCACCACCAATGTTCCCAGTTTCCTTCCCCTCAGACTGGCTCTATGGCAGATACTTTCTCTCTTTCTTTCCTTTTGGAAATTACAGTTTGTGATACAAGTACTGGAAGTTTGTCATGTTTGTCCCTTTACCTACTTTCAGCTCTCAGTTTTTGCTCACAGTGATCATTTCACACTGTCATTGCCATAGTGGCAGGCTTCCAACCACAGACCATTCCTTTGGGCCCTTGTTTCTACTGTCCTTGGGTATAAATCTCATACTGTGTTTTTTATACCCCATAGATGAGTGCAATCATTCTCTCTGTCCCTCTCCCTCTGACGCATTTCACTCAGCATGATACTTTCCATGGTTCATCCATTGATTGTGTCCTTTAAATAGCATTTCAAGAGCTGGAGACATTAGGAGTGGGTTAGGCACTTGCCTTGCACTCAGTTGACCTGGGTTTGATCCCCTGTACTTCATACAATTTCTTAAGCACTCTAGGAGTGATCCCTGAACACAGAACCAAGAGTAAACCCTGAAAACTGCCAAAAGAAGAGAAAGAAATCTTTTAAGTGCATTTCTTCTTTGACACAACACAATTTTCTATTTTCCTCGCCCCATCCTTTTCCTCCCCACAAACATCTGGTCTGTTATTAAACAGAATTGTGAGCAGTCATCTCTGAGCAGAAAACGTCTTCTGTCTTGCCTAGAACTCAAGAAAATGCACTAATATTTGTGACCACTGGAGGGCATGGATGTAGCTAATTGAATAGGAGGAAGAAAATAGGGCACAATTGCCTGCTTCCTAGTCATAAAGGATTCCACTCCCCTCATTTATTTCTAATTTCTGTACTATATATTACCGTGATCCTCATAAAGGTGATCATGTGAAAATTCCATACCAGACACAACTGACAGTTTTCACCAAAGGAATGCCTTGATTTTTTTCAAAAGGTTGAAATAATCTAAAATATGTATTCGTATATTTGTATACATATATATTTATAGCTGATGGGATTACACGGTGTAAGACTCAGAGACTTTAAAATCCAGAACCCGGACGAGAACAGTGCAGTCTCTGC